GGCAGGCGTCAGGGCGCAGGACAAGAGGCAGGGGAGGGAGGCGACTCAGGCAGGTTCTTTGCCTGCAACAGCCAGCTGCTCCGGTGCCACCACACCCACAGTCTGCACAGCCGCGCCGGCGCCCCACCACTCGCCTGGTTCTCCTGCCCCAGCACATTCTCGGCCGGCACCTCACAGCCCTCAAACAGCAGCTCGCACGTGTCGCTGCCCCGCATGCCCAGCTTGTCCAGCTTCTGCGCGGTGCTGAACCCCTGCGGGGGCAGCACGGCCAGGCAGGCAGGCGGGCACGCCACCCAGCGTCAGGGCAGCATCATGGGTGGCGAGGGCGGGAGCAGCGCTGCAGAAACCACACCGGGCGACGGCGGCCGCAGCCTGCACCCTGGCTGGGGCCCCTGCTGCCCCTGCCCGCTTTGTTCATGATCCTGCCCCGCCTGCTCCTCTCCTCAGAGTGCCCTCAGACAGAGCACACAGACACGCCAGTGCCCCGCCGGCGGCAGGAACCGCGCCACCCATTGGCCAGGGAGGACCGCCCCACGCCTTGCCTGCATGCCCTTCTCGATGATGAAAGCGGTGATGCCGTGAGGCCCCGCATCCGCCTTGGTCTTTGCATACACAATCAGCGTGTCTGCGGCAGCGGCAGCGGCGCGCAGGCAGCGGCCGCAGCGCACGGTGAAGCAGGTGCGCGGCTCGGCGCGACGCTTGCAGGGACATGCCTCGTCGTCGGCTCAGAGGGGCAGCCAGTGTCTGCAGGCAAGGCGTGGGCGGGCAGGGGCCGCACCTGCGATGGGGCCGTTGGTGATCCTGCACACGCGAGGGAGCGCGCTGCTTGTTAACCCGCAAGTAAGGGGAGGTAGGTGGAAAGTAGGGCAGTGTGTTGCAGGGGCCGCGCACTCTGGCGCTCACCACATCTTGGAACCGTCGAGCACGTAGCGGTCGCCCCTCCGCTCCGCCCGCATGCGCATGCTCACCACGTCGCTGCCGGCGTTGGGCTCAGACATGGCCAGCGCGCCCACATGCTCCCCTGCACCGGCAGACAGGCGGGGCAGGCTTCCGACACGGCTGCACAGCTCGCCAACTGCCGCCCCACACGCAATGCCCCGCTGCTGTCGGCGCGCTGCGACAGGCAGGTCGCCGTGAGTCGGCGGCGGCCTTGCCTGTGAGCAGCTGCGGCAGGTACTTGTCTAGCTGCTGCTGGTTGGCGTTGCGCACCAGCTGGTTGATGCACAGGTTGCTGTGCGCGCCGTACGACAGAGCCACTGTGCGGCAGGCAAGGCGGGGTGGCAGGCAGGAAAGGGTGAGCCCGCAGCAGCAGGGACAGGCCCGCGGCCCGCACCGCTGGCCCCCAGCTGCTGTGGAGTGTGCAGCCGCTGTACAGTACCTGAGCCCGATGCTCGGCTCAGCTCTTCCATGGCGATGCAGTGCTGCAGGTAGCCCAGCCCCAGCCCGCCGTGCTGCTCCGCCACCGTGATGCCTGCGGCGGCGGCAGGAGCGACAGGATCTGCTGGCTGTCGCAGCTGGTATGGCAGCCTGAAGCAGACCAGCTTCTTGCAGCAGGACCATAGTTCCAAGAGCCTGATTCACCCACACAGGGGCACAAGTCCCTCTGGCGTCGCCCAGCAGCCGAGCTTACCGTGCAGGCCCCACTCGCCCGCCCGCCGCCAGAACTCAAAACCTGGCGGGTAGGCGTTGAGCCGGTCGATCTCCGCGGCGTGAGGGGCCACAAAGTCCTGGGCAAAGGTGCGAACCGAGTCCCGAAACTCGTCGGCCGCAGACTCGTCGTCGTGGTGCTCTGCCGCCGGCGCTGGCTGTGCTGACAGGCGCCGCGCCCCCGCCAGGAGCCCCGCCGCGGGCAACCGGTCTAGTGCTGCGGTTTGGGCGCCCAGGGCGGCCCAGGCGCGGCGGGCAGCGAGCATCATGCAGGAAGGCTGAGGGCCGTTGTGTGTATTGGCAACAAACAGGTGTCGGGAGGCCAACAGCGCTATCAGGGGTCGATAGCGGCCCCTAAGAACGCGCCAAAGGTGGGTTGGGCCCCTGCTGTGCGGTGAAAGAGCATCTCCGACAGGCTGCGGTGGCACGCTAACTCGGAGAAGCTGCATGAGGCCTATTTGTGCACGCCTGGCATTGACATGCTTTCCCTCTCGACCTGTTGGCAGTCTTACACAGCACGGTGCCGGCCTGAGCAGCAGGCAGGCGGGTGCCGGGCTTCCCGCCGCCTCCGCCTGTGGCCAGCTGCCGCTCACACTGGCGTGGCTGGGTCTTTGGCTGTTGTTCGTAAAGAATTGCCAAGAATTACAGTGAAAAGCGCAGCCTGAGAATTGCAGAGCAAAAATACCCTGGTCGTCACCCGCGCTCGCTCGTCGCACCCACGCTCCCGCTCGCCACCTGCGTGCCATCAGTCGTCGCCGCAGGTGGCATCCTGCAGCGCTTCCACCAGCACGCCCAGGCGGTCTGGCGCATACAGCTGCACCAGCTCCCACTTCACCAGGACACAATCCGCGCCCGCAGCCCGCGCCTGCCGCGCCTCCTCGATGCTGCAGCTCACAGCGGGGCCAAAAGCATGGATGGTTTCGAGTCTGGCTGGGGAGGCTTTGCAGGAGCAGGAACAAGCAGCAGTGGAGACGGCTGGGCCAGCGGAAGCCATCAGCAGCTCCCAGCTGATGGCAGCACCGCACCTGCGTGCGCCAACCATGCTGATGGCTCCAAACGGCATCTCCCCGAGGAGCCCTGCAGGCTGGAGCGCAGCCAGTGTCAGCCTGCTTGCCGGGCGAGCCAATACATTCACCACAGGCCCTGGGACCTTGCCAGCAGGCAGGTGGCAACAGTGAGGTGGCCAGGCCCCGCTCATGTTTCCATCAACCCCAGCCAACCAACCCAACCAACCAACCAACCAACCAGCCACGGATCGCCCGCACCTGTGGCCACCTGCAGCCCAAAGCCGGTGATGCTGACTGACAAGCCCACGCTCAGGTTGAGGCCAAACCATGGCATCTGGTAGGGCTCCAGAGCCCGCAGCTCCTGCAGCAAAGGAGCGCAAGGCAAGGCAGCCAGGCTCAGGGCCCGAGGTGGTGGAGGTGGGGTGAAGGATGCCACACCGGCGGTCTGCCTGCAGTGCCCAGAGACCCCTCGCATGGCTAATCTCGCCCCTGCATGCCTGCATGTTCACTATCTCCACCGGGCAGTCCAGCCTGCACAGGCAGAGGCAGAGGCAGTGACAGTACTCCTGAGCCGCTGCCAGCCATCAGCATCAGCAGCGCCATAAACGCAGCAGCAGACGGCGCTGGCCTGCCTGTCACTCATCCAGCTCACCCAATTGCAGAGGAAAAGCTGCTCATGAGCGGCGTCCCTCGGCTGGTGACTGACGCTATTGTCTCGATGACCCCTGCCGCGCCCGCCTCCTTGGCATTGGCTATCTGCACCGCATGGAGCAGGGGCAGCCAGACACGGCATTCCATTCACTCCTGGCTGTGAGTGGGACAAGATGGCCGTGCCTCACACACCGTGCAGCCACCACCATGCACGGCTGCCGCTGCGTTGTACTTGACTGAAACAAACGCGCCCAACCTGTAATGGGTGGATGAACCAGTCGCGCTGCAGCACCGGCGGCGGCACTGCCGCCTCTGCCGCTATCAGGCCCGCCCCCACGCACCGCCGGCTGGCCGCCAGCGCGCTCTGCGTCACAGTCAGCAGATCCTTGAGAGGCTCGGCCGTGTCTTCCGCATCGGTTTTTACAGCCAGTGCATCCGCACCAGCTGCCACCAGCCGTGCTGCTAGCTCGCCGAGCTGCTCTGAGGTGGCCGTGGCATCGCCGCCTCTGCTCAGCTCCAGCACTAGAACCGGGCGTCCGGTTGGCAGCACATCCGCCACCAGCTGTGTGAGGCGGTGGGCTGGGCGGGCTGGGCGCTGGGTGGCAGATTGGAGCCGCTCCTCCAACCCCTCCTCCCCCAGCTCCTGCAGCTGCGCCGACAGCTCCTGCTGCTTGCGCCTGGGCGTGGTGCAGCAAGCAGGGGGTGGCGGGAGTGCCCGGCGTCATTGGCAACAGCGGGCAGTGGCGCCAAGCGGCAATAGCTGGCGAGCCTTGCGAGGCCACAGTTATGCTCCAATGGCCCATGGGCATGCAGCAGGAGCGCCAATTGCCAACAGAACAGCGCACTTGATGATGGAAGCCAACTTGTTGGGAGCTGCAGGAGCCGACTCCCCACCGTCGTCTCTCTGCAGACGCACTACAAGCCTGCGCGGCACATCGGGCCGATCAAGCCTGCGTCTTTTGCCGACATGGTGCATCCGCAGGGTGCAAGAGGGCGAACAATGGGCGGAAAGGGCCGCCATGATACTATGTGATGATCACACAATGACAGACGGTACAAAGACGCCATGGAGGTGCTTGGCAAGCATGCTGCGCCACGTCATGTTTTTTTTTTTTTTGCCGCTCCGCCGAACAGCAGGCACCTTGGAGGAGTTGCCTCCCTCACATTCCCAACCTGCTGGCCAGCAAATGCTTCGTCTGCGCATCGTCTCCAGCGCTACGCCCACCAACCAGCACCCTGGCCACCTCTGCCAGGCGGCCGCCGACGCGCACGTGTCAAACGCGCGTCAATATGCCCTGGCGCGCACATTTGAGGTTACTAGGCAAGCCACATGCATCCAGGCCCCACTCCAAGGTCCCCTAAACACCGAACCCAACACCGCATGCTCCCCCTCGAATCGCTGGCGGTTCTTCGCTGCGCCAGTCGCGCCGCCACCACTCTTCTGGGCCCAGGCTCACTGTTTCGGCCGCCACCATTCAGCCCTCCCTTTTCTTCTCTCCCCCAACCAGCTCTCACCTCTTTAAACTGCTCTTCTCTGACCCTCCAATGCTATGCCATGCCCTCCAGTCGCGCTACTCTACTACCCGGATGCGAGGGCGGTGGCACTGCTGATGCAGTCCGTGGCTGCAGCCGGCCGCCGCGCGCCCTGCGCCGCCTTCACTGGCACAATGATGAATGCAGGTGGGGCGTGTGTGATGGTAGGTTGGATGAATCAATCAGCAGGGGTGGTCAGCAGGGATGTCGGGTGGGGCGCCCTTATCGACACGCGCCGCCAGCTTTGTTGTGCTGCTGCCGCCTGCTGTAACCCGCCTGTGCCGCCCCTGCTCTGCTCACCCCGCGACCGCCTGTGTGCTCAGGCATGGTGGAACTCATCCAGCAGTTGGTGGCGGCCGCCGCAACCAGCCAGCACACGGCGGCACGCGGGCCAGCGGGCGCCAGCCCCAGCGCCATCGTGGACCCTGAGAGCAGCGGCAGCCTGGACGTGCGAGGTGGGCTGCGGAGCAACGGCCTCTCGGGGGGATGACAGCATGGCTGAACCCCCCATGCACAAGGGTTCAGCACCAAACCAAGGGCTTGCCCGCCGCTGCCCCGTGCCCACAGACGCCATCCGCGGCAGCGCGGGCGTGCAGCTGGCCGCCACGTCCCCTCAAGTATGGCTGCCGCAGGGATGCCGCCTACTTCCTGTGCTGCCACGGATGGCAGGCTGGTGAGGGCGTGCGACTCTGCTGGCACCGTCTCGCTTCCCGTCTCGCGTTGCGAGAGCCTGAACGCGTGAGCTTGCCTACACACCTGCAGTGGAGGAGGCGAGTGCGTGGGATGTGGAGGCCATGTATGGCGTGCTGGCGGTGGGGCTGCAGTACCCGCAAGAGCTGCTGGAGCGAGTGTGTGACAGGCACGGCCAGGACCCAACCATCAGCGTCGTCACGGGCAGGCGGGGCTTCTGAAGAAGGCGGCGGTAGCGGCGGGCACTGCCTTGCAGGCGCAGGGCTGCTTCCTGGTGCTGAGATTGCGAGTGGGCCATGATGCTGCCTGCTGAAGGGGTGACGGGTGTGTAAATTCGTTGGGCTGTGAGCTTTTGGAGACTGGCGGGGTTCCACAACCAGCGGGGCGTGCAGCGGGGCGTGCAGAAATGGCGGTGGCGGGCGGGTGGCTCGCGGGTGGCGCGTGGAGGGCGGCAAGGGGAGCTGGGCGGCAGGGTCCACTAGGGGCGACCTGTCGCGCGGGCGGCCTCCGTGCTGGGCCCTTGGGGTGGTGGAAGCTGGATGGCAAGGTATATGCCATCCTCTGGTGCGCTGTGAAAACAGGTGGCGGCGCCCGGAGCTGGGCTTTCGGGTCGAGGAAGCTGGTCGTTTCTCCATAAACCGCGCTCAGATGGGATGGAATTCATTCTCACACTGCTCCTGAACCAGCATTTCAACAAGCTGAGCTTTCGCTGCGACTCCACCGGTACTACCCAAAATGCCAGCCCTTCGCCGGGGGGGCCTGGCTCTCGCCCTCCTGCTGATTACTTTTGCAGTGGCTTGCAGGGGTAAATCCCCACCATACGATGAAACGACAGTGCAGGTTAGGGAGGGGAGCCGGGGCAGGGCGCCGCATGCACCGCACGCATCGCCGCGGCCTCACCCAGCTCCAGCTTTGATTGATTGCTTCACACTGAAACACGATTGGACGCCCCGATGAACCCACACGGTGCTCTCCTCCCTTCCTTCCTTCACCCTCCTCCCTGTGTGTTCCGCTGCTGCAGGGCCTCCTCCTCGAGGACACAATTCGGCTGCTTGGGAACCTGGCGGCCTCCAAGCCCGCCGCTGCAATGTCGGCCTCAGCAGCGGGCCCAGCAGCGGCCGCCGCCGCCGCCGCTGCCAGCCGTGCTCGCGGCCTGGCCCTGCGGCTCGGCCGCCTGCGCGGGGCTGAGATGACGGGCTCGGCCGCCATTGCGGGCGGGCAGCGCAAGGTCCCCGCCAGCCAGGCTGCAGCGGCAGAGACGGACGCTCGCGAGGTGGCCGCTTACTTCACCCAGCCCGCCACCGTCGAGCTGATGCAGAAGAACCCGCTGCTCATCCCGCCCTCCCTGGCCAAGCCCATGGGCAAGACGCGCACCGCCACGTGCATGGAGGTCCGCCGCATGGGGCTGTCCCGCAAGGTGGGTGGCTGCTGTTGTGCGCTGCGCCCTGCCCTCCTGCTCACCTGCTGTTGCCCGTCTTGCAGCATGGCTCAGTTCCTCCGAGCAGCACGCTGTATGTGCCCATAGCCCACTCTGCTGGCCCATCTTGCCCTGAACCTCCTCCTCCGCCTGCTGCTGCGCAGGTCAAGGATGCCATGTGCAACATCCGGGTCCCCTTCCCCACCGCCTCCGCCATGGCCCACCTGGAGATGGAGAAGAAGATGAAGTCGCTGGTGCCCCGCGCCCGCCAGCAGGCCGCTACCAAGCGCGAGCGCGGCCTGCTGGAGAGCCTGTCGGGCGGGTGGCCGGCGGCCAAGGCGCACCGCCGCGACCTCAAGCTCATGACCTGCTCCACCGACAAGGGCTTTCTGGAGCTGCTCAAGGGCAACAGCGAGAAGGCGGCCTACGGCTGCATGGCCGCCTCATGCTCCTTCCCGGTGAGTGGTGCCGGGCCCCGCCGGCGCCGCTGCCCAGCTGCAACGCACGGAAGCCCCAGCTTTCAGCCTGCTGCCTGCATGCCGTGCTGTGCGCTTTTTTTTAGGGTTTACCCAACCCCCTAAAAACAAATCCCAACCTCGCATCCGCACCGCCGTGCCCCCGCCCCCTCTGCTGCAGATCCCGCCGCTGCCGCCGCTGGCGTTCAAGCTGCAAGTGGAGGGCTGCGTGCCGGCCTGGGAGTTTGCCAACAACGTGTTCATGCAGTGCACTATCAACGGCTGCTCCAACAAGAGTCAGCTTACCGACGCGGTGGGCTACCAGCTAATGGATGCGGCAATGAGCTCCAACATCGCCCTGTGAGCTCCAGCCGCCGCGCTGCTGCTGCTGCTGCTGTGGCGTTGCGGCATGATAGCCCTGCGGGTGCCGGGCAGGGAGATGGGGCGTCAGGGAGGCTGTCTCACGAGGCTGCGCCGTGCCATGCGTGCCCCTGGCTGCAGGTTTGGCGGCGTGTGCTTTGGCTGGGGCGACCTCAAGAGTGAGTTGGTGCAGCTGCGCCTGCTAAGCATCTGGTGCTGCTGCATTGGGTGCATGCGCGCACCGAAAGCTCGGCCTGACCAGGTGTCGCCCCTGTTGAGCTGAGGGATGCACGTTCACCCTTTCCTCGCAGAGCTGCTCGAGCGGGTGGGCCTCAAGGATGCTTGCATCGGCCCCAAAATGACCTTCTGGCCCCTCAAGAGCCAGATCGGCCTGCACCTGGACCTCTCCTTCGTCGTGGGTGAGCCCGCGGGCTGCCGGCGCCGGCCGCTGCACACCCCTCGCGGCCTGCTGCAACCTTGCCAGCTGTCGCCTCGTCAGCCGGCTGACTGCCGCTAGTCCCAGATGCCACCTGACCTGTGCCCGACTGCCACTGCTTCCGCAGGCTCTGTCCAGTTTGGCGGCAAGCTGCAGACCGTGTCCAGCGAACACAACGGTCTGTGCAAGTGGGCGCGGGAAAGCAACCCGCGCTTCTACAACCGAAACCTGCGCTGCAAGGACTACTGCGCCTGGAAGACGGTGAGCCTGCCGCCAAGGCTGCGCTGGAGGGATAGGCAGGCAGCAAGCCTGCCGAGCCGGTGCAGACGGTATGCTGACCGTGGCGTGGCGCCTTCCGCTTGACGTGTATTGTTGCCTTCTTGCCTGCCTGCAGTGGAATGGGGAGCTGGGCATCAACGCTGGCGTCCAGTTCTTGTTCTTCCGCAAGAAGTGGAGTATTCCGATCGTGCGGTCGCCCGTGCCCAGCTGCTACTGACGAGCTCAGCGGGGACACACAGGCCGGGGCAAATCAAAACGTTTACGACACCTACTGCACACTTTTGCATGTTGTGCGCTGTGTAGCCTTTTGTAACAAGCCCCATATACACATTCCATTGGCAAGCTTAGAAGGCTCGACATGGCACAGAATCGAGCTTGCAGAATCGGCGTGTTGCAAAGCTCCACCGCCGCCGCCCGCTGTACTGCTGAGTAGGAGCCGATGCGGCATGCGGCTTGCGACGAGAAAGCTTGCGCCCAGACAAACTAGAATGCACCGCCGGCTGGCAGGCTTCTTTGGCGTGGGAGGTGAGGCGCGCTGGATCGATTTTCGGGCTAAAGGTTTCTTAAGGTGGTGGTGCGCAAGCGGAGCGCATGGCTCTCGAGACTCCCGATTGCGCATAGCCACCTTCCTGCCACCTAAGCTATCTCCTGCGCCCTGGTCTCGCCCTTCCACCCGCCGCAGTACTTCCGCCGAAAACGGCGCCCTGCCAGCGCCGCGCGCTCGCCAGCAACCCCCGGGCAACTGCCCGTGCTCAGAAGACCATGCCGCAGGCCATTGAGCAGCTGGAGGAGAGCCGTCCTGTGTTTGCCTCGCTGCGGCAGACGCAGGCCTTTGTTGTGCGACAGCTGGCCGAGCAGCTGGAGCTGGCGCCCGCCCTGGCTGACGCCGCTGCAGGGCCGGGCGTGCCGCTGGAGGTGGCATCCCCGGATGGCGGCGCCGCCGTCGCGTTGCAGGCGTTCAGCGGGCCGGGGTTGCGCTGGCTGTCGGCTTCCGCTCTGGCCAGCCCCAGCCTCGGGTTTGGAGGAGCCATCACCGCTGGCTTTGCCGAAGGCTGCTCTGATGTGCCGCACTTCAGGCTGGATCATAAGCTGCTGGGAGACCAGGTGCGCAGGGGCACGCTGTGGCGCCTGGCATGTCACACACCGTCAGGAGCAGCAGCCCTTGGTCTCCCTGCAAAACCACTCTGCGCGGCCCCTGCCTGCCCTGGGCTCCCGCTCCGCCGGTTTGACGCCCCACGGCTGGTGCCCGCTCCCCTGCCGCTCACCTGCTCGGCAGGTGCTGCTGGTGCTGGCGCTGTTCCCCCGCAGGGACTGGTTCCTGGACGAATTCTACCTGCAGCTCTACTATGGCTCAAGTACGCCGGGGCAGGCAGGGGGCAGCAGGTGGCACCCCACCACTCTCTTCACCTCGACCGCTACACCAACACCAGCCACCATTCAACCCACGCACCACCGCCACCGCCGCTGCCGGTTGCCCCCACCCTGCACCCCTGTGCAGCCCCGCCCGGCTCGCAGCGCAGCTACAACGACGTGTACAACAGCGCCCTGCAGCGCCCCGGCTGGAAGCTGTATCAGACGGCGGCGCTGGCTGTGAAGCCCCTGCTGAGCTCCGCCATGGCGTTCACTTACGAGCCCAGCGAGGTGGGTGTGGTGTGGTGGCGGAGCCGGGGCCGGCGCCAGCCTGTGCAGGCTTGGACATCGGAGACGAAACGGTGCCCTCCTCCTGTGCATCTCAGCCCGGCCACGCTGCCGGGAAAGTTTTAAACGCGCCTGCGCTCCTCCGCTGTGCCCCGATGGTACAGGACAACCTGCTGGCGGCGCGGGAGACGGTGCTGGAGGTGGCGCAGCTGTGGGGCAACCTGGTGAAGCAGCAGCGGCAGGGCGGCGGCGGCGACAGCCAGCGCCAGGCGGACGACACGGTGCGCCAGTACGATGCCCGCTACGTGAAGGGTGAGCCTCCATTCCTCGTCCTGGCACATGGGCATGAAAACGCAGCAGCTATCTAAGTGCTGGACTTGAGCTGCTCCTAGCATGCGATGAGCGAGGGGCCAGCGCTGCATGGAGGGCACATCCCTGGCCACCCCGGCCCATCCTTCTGCAGCTGTGGCAGAGAACCCGGCCTGGGTGGCGCTGTTTGGGCAGGAGGCCACCGACAAGCTGGCGGCGGCAACCCACGGCGGCGCCGCACCCTGATGGCGCTGCCAAGCGCTGCGGCGGATTCACACAACTGGACGTTTACATGGCACTCGGCGAGAAACTGCTGTGCAAGGGGCAATGATTGGGCGGTATATCATCTGTTTATTCAATCCTGTACAAAAACTGGGTTTGAATGTTTGGAAAGCAACTGTCTTCTCCAACACCGTACGTAAGTGATCTGATCTGTATACTGGTTGTATTGCAACCCGATTTTGAGTGCACGTGTGGCATGGAAAGAAGCAAGCGCATGTAAAAGGGGCTGTACGAAGTGCCACTGGGTACTTGTTTTGCACAAAAGATCAAACGCAATCTGCCTCTGAACGTTGCTGTCCTTGCCCGGCCCTCACCCTGCAAACGCGGCCGCCAGGTTGCGCGCGCCGCCGCCCATGGCCGCCACCAGGCTCTCCGGGGTGGCGGGCAGGCGGATGAGCGGCGTGGTTCCGGGCGCCTCGATGGCGCCCAGCGCCGCCAGCTCAGCGCAGGCATCCCGCGCCGCCGCCTGCAGCGCCGACAGCGCCGAGGTGGCCAGCATCAGCGGCGGCTCGCCCACCGCCTTGGCGCTGAGCACGCTGCGCTCAAGGGAGGAGCCCTGCAGGCAAGGGAGGCAGGCAGGGCGGCGGGGCCAGCGGCAGGGGTGATGCCAAGGTCAGCCCAGGCTGGGAGTTGAGCCGCACGTGCAGCGGCGCGTGCAGGGCTGGAAGGAGGTATGTGAAAGGGGAGGGCTGGAGAAGCGCACGCACACGCTGAGAGGCAGATAACTGCAATGGACAGAGTAATGGTAGCAGCAGCAAGCGGGGCCGGCAGCGCACCGGCAGCAGGGTGACGTTGAGCTCCTGCGGCATGCTGGCGGCGATGGGCGGGTGGTAGGTCCACAGCGAGTCGGTGAGCAGGCGGCCGGTGGCGGGGTCATGGCGCCGCGCCTCGGACAGCGCCTGACCCAGGCCCATGCTCAGAGCGCCCTCGATCTGCACGCAGGCAGGCGGGTGGGAAGGCATGTGGTCAGGCAAGCACGCACGCCAGCACGAGCTGCGCTGGAGGACGGGGCTGCATGAGCTGTGCCGACATGTCGGCGCAGCGCAGCGCTGCGCGGCGCAGCACAGCGCGGCCGCAGCAGGTCAAAGGGCTTGCCTGTCCGATGTCGATGGCTGGGTTCATGGAGCGCCCCACATCCATGGCGAGGTCGCAGCGCAGCAGACGGCGCTCGCCTGGAAACATGAAAAAACAAGGCACGCTGAGGAAGGGGGCTGGCGGGTGAAGCCGGGTAACCCGGGCAAGCATGCCGGGCCGGCGCTGCACACATTCACAAAGATGCCGGCCTGCCGTGCCCAGAACAGGAGTCGCAGCGACCTGCGGCATCCTCTGCCCACCCAGCCAGGCGGGGTCATGCCCTCACCCGTCAACACGTTGAGCTCCGCCTCGCAGCAGGCCGCCCCAAACACGCAGTACTGCACGTCGCCGCCAACGTGGCCGTAGGCGGTCAGCGGCACCTGCAGGGGTGACGCAGGAGAGCGGCGGCAGGCCCTCAGCGCCAGGCCCTGCCGCCCCACCCCCATTCTTTATCTTGGCAAACTAGGCTACCGGCAGCATGCCAGGGCGTGTTGGAGATTGGCTGCATGGAGCCGTGCGGCGGTGGCAACAGCCGCACCAACCTTTGGCCCGCCGAACCCGCCGCTCGGGGGCACCACCGCAGCCATCAGCTCGGCCCAGGTGCTCTGCGGGCCGAGCTTGTCGGCAAACGGGCGCATGCGCTCCACCAGCTGCTGGCAGGCCTGGCGCACAGCGATGCATGCCGACTCTGCAGGGAGAGGAGAGGGCAGGGCCAGGGCTGAACGGCTGGTAGCGAAAGCACATGTTTGGCAGTGCCTTGCCTACATCTGTGCAGGCAGGCCGTCCTGGCCCTGGCTGGCCCCCAGCAGCTCGCCCCAGGCCTGCTGGCCCGGCAAACCCTTTGCTTCAGGCGCAGGTCCTGCCGGCCTTGCTCAGCTGTTACTCACCCGAGGTGGTGCTGCCGCCTGTCATGTTGGTGGAGGGCAGGATGTAGCTGGACTGGTCCCCCATGCGCACCAGGCTGACGGGCAGCGGGCGGCTGGCGGCGGGCAGTAGCGTGCTGAGCTCCATCAGCGCCACCTGGCAGGCACGAGGGAGGGGGCGGGAGGGTTTTGGGCACAGGATGCAGGGGTGGGGTGGCACGGCGTGGCCAGCGTGGGGTAGCGCAGCAGCTCCACAGCGAGGATGAACACTCGTGTGTGCTGCTCCTGGACGCATGAGCTGGCAGGTGTGGTACTGGATCCATGAGCTGGCAGGTGCGGTACCGCACCTGCAGGACCTTGGTTGTCAGGCCCTGGCCCAGCTCCGACCTGCCCGCAAACACCACCACCGAGCCGTCTGGGTAGATGCTGACGTAGGCAGCCTTGGAGGCGATGTAGCAGTCGAAGCTGCACACACACAACATGAGGGCGGGGTAGTGACAGGGAGGGGATGGAGGCAGGAGGCCAAGGAGCCCGGCTGGATGGGTTCAGTGTTGGTCAGAGAGCAGAGCAGATGGATGGAGGGAGGGTGACGCGTGCAATTTGCCTGACCCAGTCTGCCAGAGACCTCCGCCAGCTGCACATATCACGCCACGCACCGCGTGTGCGTCATGCCGAGGCCGCGCTTGACCCAGGGGCTGTCCGCGTTGAAGCGCTGGGCAGCCGCCATGCGCTCCTCGTAGCCGCAGGAACGCTTCAGCTGCTCCCACAGGCGGGGCAGCGTGTAGTCGCCAACGGGAATCTCCTTGCCAAGCGACAGGCGCACCACAGGTGCCTCCCCCTTGTCGGCGACAGGCTGCGGGGGCGGCAGCGTGAGCAGCGGGAGAGTCGGCTTGGCACTGGCAGGCGGAGCGGGGAGGGGACGGCCAAAGGGATGCTGCTGCAGGCCTGTGAAGGACCGTACCTTGGCCTCGGCATCCTCCCCCTCCGCCGCAGCTGGCGCCAGCGCCTGCTCCGGCGCCGGGTCAGGCAGGCGCGCGAAGTTGCGCTCACGCACGGCGGCGGCGGCCAGCCCGCACTGCGTCGCCACGTGCTCCATGATTTGCTCCATGATGAAGGCGGCCTGTGGGGCAGCGGCAGGGGCCTCGGGGTGACAGGAAGAGGCGAAGCTGCAACATCAAACATGGCCTGTCTAGACTCAGCAGCGCTCTGTGTGGCATATGCATGCGGCAACAATCTTGGTGCTTTCTGGCTGTCCGAAAAGGCCGGCACCTGTGCGTCGCCCGGGGCGCGCATCGCCGTCATGGGCGGCAGGTTGCCGCGGCACAGCCGGCTGGTGAGGGAGAAGTTGGGCAGGGCGTAGGCCTGCGGTGTGAGCAGGCGGTCGTCAGGGCAAGACAGGGTGAACAGGCGGCGCGGCGGCGCAACTTGAAGCTTGAAGCAGCGGCGAGCAGCTGCGGCGCTGGTGCTGCGCCGGAGGCCGGCACGCCTCGCCTCCAAGCTGTCCAGCGCGCAAGTCTCCCCTCCCGCAGCCTCACCATGCCCATGAGCGAGTTGAGCACCATGGCATCGCAGGGGATGTCTGGGTAGGCGCCCAGCAGCAGGAAGGCGCGGATGTGCAGCCCCTGCAGCCGCCCGGCAGCGCCCCAACCAACATGGAGAGCAGCTCGGGGCAACCAAAGGCTGCCGCCGGTGACGCTGCTTGGGCCTCATGCAGCCAGGGCTGTCCCAACGCACGGCCCTCCTCATTGCCATGCGCAGCAACAACGTATTTGGCGCCCCGTGGCACAAACAAGAACAGAAAAGAAACCGCAGCCCCACCTCGATGACCCCCTCTGTAGTGAACCCCACATCGTACTCCGCCATCACCTCGCAGCGCCCCGCATTCAGCCGCATGTCGGTGCGCCTGCGCAGGCGGGCGACGGCGAGCGGGCAGATGTGGCAAGCAGGTGTGGGGCTGGGGGCGTGGCCGAACCAGCAGCGCTGGGGAGGAGCAGGGGCAGGCATGCAGGCACAGTCATGCTGGGCGGAAGCCAGGACATACGCGAGGGCGGCGCTCAGGTGGTCGCGCCGCGCTGGGCGCGAGGCAGGCAAAGGCCTGCGGGCCCCACCTGTCCTGCACGAACCGCACGGGGCGCCCCGTGCGGACAGCCGCCACGGCGGCGCCCACCGCCACCGGCAGATTGCGCATGGCCTTGCCGCCAAAGCCGCCGCCGGCGCGGCGGCACACCGCCTCCACGTCGTGCTGGCGCATGCCCAGGCTGTGAGCCACCGCCTTCTGGACGCAGTCAATGTCCTGCGCTCCGCGCAGGCCCGCGAGCAGAGAAGCGCCTCGGCGAGGCGGCACAGAGGGCGGCGCAGCACATGGCGCCTCTCGGCACTCGACGGGAGCCACTTCCGCGCGGCAGGCTAGACCGCGCTGGCGCTTCCCAGCCCGGCCCTCCCACCTGGCAGGCACTGTAGATCTTGAGGCTGCCGCCCTCATCCGGAAGCGCCAGCGCGTTCTGCAACGACAGAGGAGAGGGGCGGGCGGGCGGCAGGGAGAGGGAAGGCGCAGGATGGGCGAGTCGCGTCTGGCGCCAACCAACGCCGCCCGCCCTGCTGCGGCCTGCTGGTGCACCTTGGCGCAGCGTCTGCCGGCCTGCCACCTCTTAACCCCCCCACCTCTCTTCCACACACACAAACACACACACACTCTTCCCCCTGCACACACACACACCACCCCCACCACACACACACACACACACCTGCGGC